CATTGCCTAACTCGTACATTTCTTTCTTCCTTCTCCTTCTTTCTTGTTTGGATTATGCTTTTAAGCAAAAATCCGTTCTCTCTTTTTGATATGTTATTTGGATTGGACTCATAATCTGAGGATTATTAGTTTCAATTTTGGTTGATATATATTGGTATATCTTTTTCGTAGATATACATGTATATATAACCTTTGGATCCGTTTTATATATATTTGTGTGTATATATATATATATTTCAGATAAATATCCAATAATATTTTATATACTAGTGTGTGTATATATAAATATTATTTTTGAGATATTAAATCGATTGTGGTTCATTATCACCAACAACTCAGAATCACTGATGAACACCATAGGCATTGGACCAATCCATACAAAATTATTTTTACGTAGCATAATAATATCATCATAGATTGATTATTTGGAAAGATCCATCACCAATAAGGCCTTATCCAACCTTCAAAAACTCCTTATATTTCCCACCTAATACTCATCCATCACCAATTCCCACCATTCAATTGCCAAAAAACTACTCCCGAACCAAAAAGACAAACACTCCCTTTCTCCACTAGGAAGAAAAAAAGATAAGATAAGATAAGAAAGAGTTACGTTGTCACACTCCCCAATTAAAATCCTCCTCGTAATAGAGGACACACAAATAGAAGCCAATAATTTTTTTTTAAAAAAATTGGTCTCTATAGTTTTAACTATTATTTCACATGATAAAATTCTCTTTATTTTTTCTCTTCATTTCTTGTATTGCAAGGGAGCGGAGGGGTAACATCAAGGGAAGCAAGATTGTGTCTTTTTGGCACTGGCAACACATCGTGGTCTCACAACTCCAACGGGGCGTTTGGTTGGGAGTAAGGAATTAGGGTGGAAAGGAATTGCAATTCGGTGGGAAAAGAATAAGGTGGGAATAAAGTACGAATTCAAATTACATTGTTGGGTAGGGATGAATAGAATTATTGGGGAGGGAATGAAAGAAGTAATACAAAGACTAAAATGTCCTTGTGTTATAATAATAGTAGTAATAATTAAGGGTACTTTTGTCATTTCATCCCTTTTTTCTTTTCTCACAACCACCGAATTGCAATTCATAGGGGGGTGCCCATGAATTGCAATTCAGCAAAAGGAGGGAATTGTAATTCTGTGGAATTGCAATTCCCTCCAACCAAACGGCGTAATTGTGGCTTCCACTGAATTGCAATTCAACTATAGCCAAATTACGCCCAACCAAACAGGCCACAAAAATATTTCCATTGAGAATTCTTCGAGTGCACTGCTAATAGCCGATTGCGTTCTTTAGATTGAGAAATTAAAGAAATTATCGCCTTTTTCCTCAAGTCGGCGGCCCTGAGAAACAAGACAGCTTTGACAAATTGAAAGAAAAAAAGACTTTTTCCTCAAGTAGGCGGCCGCTGAGAAACAAGACTTTGACAAATTGAAAGAAAAAAATTACTAAGACATGCATCGTCCTTTGTTAGTTTTAATTGATACATACATTTTAAAGTTTAAAGGGCTAATTTCGTTTTTCGTATGTGGTTAAGGCCTAAAGTCCAATGCTTATTTGACCTTTTTTTATTTTATATATTTTTTTAAATTAAAGTTGTAAATTTTCAAATTTTGGCATAGGAAATATTTTCATTAAATTATAATAAAGTGGTGGTATACATCTATGTTGAGTGGTGGAGATACCCAAATTAAAATAAATCTAAACTATAATAAAGCTATATGGTTTGGGAAGTAATTAATGTTACAATTAATGTTACTTCTCAAACCATATAGTTAAGATTAATGTTACAATTAATTACCAACATTATTATTATTACTAGCTATAAATATAAAATAGCCACAACATCTTTTACTATAAAAAAAAAAAAGCACAATATTTTAAAAATAAAATAGCTATTTTTTTTCTCACCCATAACAAAGGATTACATTTATTGAAGGGAAAATTGTAAAAAATGCCCCTCTATAATTGACCAATTATCAGTGTTACTCCTGAATTATGAGGGTTGTAAATGTTGCCCCTCAATTATCAAAACGATATATATATTACCCCTCCCGTAACGGACTTGTGGTTATCGGTTAGTGTACACCGTTAAGTTAGGGTAAATATGTAATTTGCTTATTTTTTCCTTTTTGTTTTTCTATTTTCCCTTTCTCCTCATCGGACGATGAAAAGGCGGTCGAGGAGCTTCTGTCTCAGGCTATGGATCATTCTGTTCTCAAGCAGGTCGCCGCCATAAACTGCTCCGGCTTTACCCACTCGGACCTCGCCGATCACCTCGAAGCTCGCTTTTGGAAACTCAAAACTTTCCCTGCCACAAAACCCAAGCCCTCAAACCTTACCGCTGCCGCCGCTTCTAAAAGCTTCAATCATTCTTAGTCGTTGATCCCCAGAGGAAAGAAGATCAAGCCGAGGAGAATTCAGACTCAACTGTTGCTTCACCCCTCACTAGAATTGGAGACTAAGAATCATGATTTCTTTGCTTCCAAGAAAAACCCAGATAGAAAAATGGATTCAGAGCCCAAATCTGGATCTGGGTCATCTTCATTGTCTATGGGTTCTCCTAATTTTTGAACGGAGCCCCCGTCCCGTCGGCAAAAACTGGCTGCATGTGGTGTTCCCCCAAGAAGGTCTCGAAGAAGAAGGGGAAAGAGAACAATGCCACTATTGGTAAAGGATTCGATTGGGATGCTGAGTTTCTGTCGGATTAGACCACTTTTTCCAAGAAGAATCAGGAGAAAATGCTAAAGGACACTCCAGGGAAGAACACTCTGCATCCAACAACAAACTATTCTGAGAAGTTCACCACTATTTATCCTTTTTGTTTTTGGTATTTACTTGAAATGATTTTTAAAACTGGGTTTCCAGAGGTAGAAGTGAAGAATTATGCTTAAGTTATTGATGTGATTCTATAAAGAATGGCGAAAATAGGAAGAAGGAGAAACTTTGTTGTTGGTGGCCGGAGAACAGGAACGGCGAATATAGTCTCCGGTCTTCGATCGTCTTCTGTCATAGCAAGAACCAGGGCCTTCAGTCGTCTCTCTTCCAACACAATTGGCGAACTCAAATGAGGAGGGGAAATGGAAAATATAAAAAGAAAAAAAGGAAAAATAAGTCAATTACATATTTACCCTCATATAATGCCATTAACTAACGGGAATTCACAGATCCGTTACCGGAGGGGTTATAAGTGCGCCGTTTTAATAATTGAGGGGCAACATTTACAAGTTACAACCCTCATAATTCAAGAGTAACATTGATAATTGGTCAATTATAGAGGACCATTTTTTACAATTTTCCCTTTATTGAATTAATTGAGCTATTAAATGTTATGATATTAGGATTAAGGATTCCGATTCCTGATTAATAGAAAATATGAAACGATGCAATATCAATTAAATCTCTGACTTTACAATGAAAGTTTATTTGATATGCTTTTGTTATTTATGGTGCTTCTTGGGATTACAATATTAATTAAATTTTTGATGAAAGCCTATTTGATATCTGAAACAGTGCAATTAATGTAAGCCTCTACATATAATTTTTCTCTCTCTCAAATGCTTCAAAGAAATGGCAGAAGTGAGAAGGGATGAAGAAAACAAATGCTGCAGGTCGTGGGCCAATTATTAGACTTCAGAATAAAAAAAATTCATTTGAGCCATAAATAAAAATTTAAATATATATAAATGTATATATCGTATGGGTTAAACTTAGGACTTTTAAAAGAAAAAAAATACATTTGAATTATCTCCACAAAAAGTGGTCTTTGGACTTATAGAATGACAGTTGGGTTTATGGAATGACATGTGCATAAAGAATATATTATATAATCATATAAAAAAATGTGTTCAATTAGAGTTTAAATTTACTCATACAAAATTTGAAATTTGCTTTCTAAATGTAATTATCTTAATTAGTTATTATTCGTATTGTGAAAATTAGAGAAAATTTCAATTTTGGTCCACTGACTATTGCACTTGTGTTAATTGCAACACTTAACTTTCAAAAATGTTAATTTAGTACTTTGACTATGCAATTTCTATCAATTTTGGTCACGCCGGCCAAATTGCCGACCAAATCTCAAAATGTCTGGCCAAATCTCACCGGAAAAACTTAAACATTTTAAATAAAAAGGGTAAAAGTGTCATTTCATGTTATTTAAACATCCTTTGGGCTTCCTTCTCTTCTCCGACATCATTCCCCTCCTCGTCGCCGACATCTCTGCCGGAAGGACCGTTTCCGTTCACACAGACAAGATAGGAAAGGAGTTGATTGGCTTTGCATGATTTCTCGTCGCCGACATCTCTGCGCTCCAAAACTACTACACTTCCCCAGTGAATCACACAGCAGTAGCTATCCAGAGAGACCAGAGACGGGAGTGAGGAAAATTCCTTCGCCAAAAAACCGTAAACTCTGTTTCTACATTCCATTTCCATACTCCACTAGTGCGGGAACTTTCTGCCATCCTGCAACAAGTCAACAACAACCTCCGCGATATTCGATTCTGCCTGCAACGCCCATCAATTCTACACAGATTTACGCTGCCTACCATTCTCCCGTTCCTCTCCGCCATGCTCCGTCCTCACACTGACTAGAATTTCAACTTGTCGTACATTGTGTTCAGCCGGGATTTTGAAATGGTGGAGGTGGTAAGTATCGACTTCGACGATCACGGCGCCTCCGAGGAGCAACTCCTCTTGTCGGACACCAACACCGCCGCCGACCGGTCTTGGCGCTTGAACTTCGACGACTTCCAGCTCTCGTCAGGGCAGAAGGAGAAGCATTGTCGCGGCATTCATAGCTGCCTCGGTGTTTTAAGTAATTTTCTCAACTGTCATATGCTTCATAGCTCGTTGCGTTCATATACATGATATGTTTTGTTTTTCGATCGTTTAAATATCGAATTGATTACATTAACAGAAAACATATTTTGCCTTTCAATAGCGACAAGGTTGAAATCGATCGCAGCAGCGGCTTGTATGATTTTGTACTGAAGGGGGTGAGGCAGCTTGTAGCCAGCAAAGAGAATATTCTCATCCCTGTGCAATTACATGCGTAGAATGTTGCCGATGGTGTGGTCTTCTCTCTCGACCGTTAAGGTGGCGGCATTTATAATCTTAGTGTCCCGCTCGTAGGAAACCTTCTTGACGCCTTCAGGGACGACGAATCGTTCGTAATGATCGGGAGCATTCATTTTTGCTAGCGCTTGGAACATGGAAACGGCTTTGGTCGGCGCAAATCTCATATTCATGTCCTATTTTGGTCCTACGGAATTGGGTTAGGAAGAAGTCATTGGAATTGCGCTGCAGGTGAAGGAATGGAAGAAGAAGAAAGTCACATGAAATGACGATTTTGCCCCTCCCATTTAAGACTAATTGTTAATTTTAAATTTTCCGGTCACAAATCGCCGATAATTTGGCCGGCGTGACCAAAATTGATAGAAATCGCATAGTCAAAGTACTAAATTAACGTTTTTGATAGTCAAGTGCTGCAATTAACACACCACTAATAGTCAGTGGACCAAAATTGAAATTTTCTCGTGAAAATTATAATATAGATGAAATACAATTAAGAATAAATCAATGTAATTATGTAAATTCTCTCTATAAGTTTATTTGAATATGTACATAATTAGAGATTATATTAACCATACAAAATTTTAATTTTAATTTTAATTGTAATTTTGTATTCTATAAAAATAATAAATACTTGACCAATGGAAGCTCAAAAATATTATGATATTAAACAATTTAAAATATTTTTATTTTTTTTATTTTTTTTATTTATATTTATAATAACATATTTTTCCCCGTGCGCGTGGGTGATAATACCTCATATAGGGTATATTTTTATAACATATTTTTCGTGCATCGCACGGGACAAATACTAGTAAATTAAATATAATAAAAGAAACATTTTCTTGACGGTGTAAGCTTCGTGAAAATTTATTAATCAATAATATAACTTTGTTATATATAAAGATTGAAAAGGAAAAAAAAAAACATAACTAAATAATATTAATAAACTATACGCCAAAAAGGATAGATACATTTAATTGCCTGCCCATTGTTTCTTCAATTTCTGTGATGGCATTCCTTTTAAGTGCAAAATTAAGGGTTTAATGCTTAGTTCCTCCTTCATACGCCATGTAACATGTACGGATTTATGCACAAAACCATGTATTATATCTATATCGTGCTTAATCTCGTCAAATTTAAATCCCATCTGCCCCACCAATGTTTTCTCCTCCTTTGTGAGGTATGAAATTGGATAATTCCGGGTAACAGCAGTTTGGGTTTTAAAATTAGCCCACTCGTTATTGTTGGGATTCATGAGAACCCAGATTTTGATTTCATTTTCGTCACGGCAGTAAAAACACAGCTTTGAATCGCATTCTCCGGCCAGCACACCCCTCCAATTTGTGGTGAAATTTTCTGGGATTTTAAGAGTTTTAATGCTCTCGTCCTTAGCGTCCACCCACAAAATGTTCTTGTCGTGGTCGTCGTCTATTGTGACGACATAATAAATCTTTTCAATACTCAGAGAGAAAATCATCGGTTCTGGGTCGTCGTAGTTGCTAATGCGGTGTATGGAGTTGGGTGGGGAATTCTTGAGAGGTCTCCACTCTGCATCAACGCCCACGGTTATTGCTCTAAATCGTCCCGACAAAATTGATCCTTCCAACTCCTCCGAGAAACTTATTACCGTGCATTCGTTTGCGACGAAAAACATTCTGGCGAGCACCCAACCCGGCGATTCATCGCCGACCCATAGTTCCGGCAAGTATACCATTTGCTTTGTTGCCGGATTCCTTATGCGAAGCCTTCCCGAGGGATCTTTACGATGCTCCTGTTCTAACAGTAACCCTTTCTGTACATCAATACAGGAGAATTCCTCACAAAACTGATTTATGTATTCTTTTTGATAGTAGCAACCCATGGCGGCGCGGCGGAGATGCTTTTTGTGGAAGTCATCTTGCTGTATGAGTTGGCTCCACTTCTTGCATACGCACTTGAATCTCAGTACTGATTCCACCGGCAACCAGGTCATAATCTCGGCCACCATATCTTCCGGCAGCCACGGTGATACATCGGATACCGGCATTGCGTTAGACATTAGACGCACGCAACGCAGTTATCAAATTGGTTGGAGGGAATTGAAGAGCGATAATTATACATATTTATTTGAGCAACAAAACTGGCTGGCTAAGGAATAATAATACAACGCAACCATACAGCTATAGGAAAAGGATTCTAAGCAAACTAGGAAGCCTGGTTCTGGTGGGATTTATGTAGACTTTTTCCTTAGAAATAGTTGAAATCTAATTATCTAATCAAAACTTGTCAAACTTTCTTTATAAATTTTCTTTTCTAGTCTAAATTAGACAAACTTTTCATCCTTGCATGTTAAATTGTACCATATGTTTCATAACTTTCATAAATACTTATATATAAAGAGCCATAACAACAATGTATTATTGTTACAAATAACTACACTTAATTTGCTGATGTTCGCAGCAACAAAATTTGTTATCGACAAATTTATACAAAATGAAATTGATGCAAGAACCTATGGTACGGTGTCAAAGAAGATAATCAGTACATAATTGATCAACTACAATTTAATTTTGTTAGTTCTAATGTGTTACATAAATTATCTATAATACTATGTATTTAATTGTTGATGAGATCCAAATTTTGGTGCAGAAAAGATAAAAAAGAAAATGGTTGTCGAGATGCAATTTATAAACTCCCGAACTTAGATAGTTATACTTGTTTCAAGGCTTTGAAATGGTTCAACACAAAAATAAAGAAGGGAATGTTTATATGTCACCACAAGATCGCTATGATTGAATAATGTTCAAATTATCCAAATAAGAATTCATATTATTATTATTATTAGTACTAGTATTCGTACCCGTGCGTAATGGATTTGTTGTAATATATTAAGAATATTTGAATCGATATATAATTATTTAAATTAGAACATCAAATATTATATAGTACAATTAAAGATATGGTTTGGATCGTTTATGCCATCAAATATTTAATAACTCAGCAATTTTGCTTCAAAATACTAAAAACTAAAACAACACATATACATTTTGTTAATATTTTCCAAACATCCCTAATAAATAATTTTTTTTTTAAAAAAAATAAGAAGTCATTAATCTAAAACTTCTAAAATAAGAGCCTTTTTGTCTTTTGTTTTTTCTTTTTAATTTTAATTTTATTTTGTATATAGTTTTGTTTTTATTTTTAATTATATTATTGTTATTATAATTTTATTTTAATAATAATATAAATTTTCTTTTAGACAATTTTTTGCTGTGCAGCCGTGTTAGGAATATATTGTAAATTTTGATGAGCCGAATGTATTTTTGAAAAATCAAATAGTCCCCAATTTTATTCTATTTGAGTCAGTCTTAGTCTACGGAGTATGATGCACCCATATCATGCAACCCATGTACAAGTTTGGAAAATCATAATTTGATTTTAGATGTTAAGCGGGATTATAGCTTAACATAATTATGTTGCAGATAAGTCACCAAGAACCATGCTAGAGGAGTTGGAAGAAACGCATGTGAGCTATGCCAATTGATCCTAAGTTTTAATCTCAAGTGAAGCATTTTTAACTTGTTTGGGAGACTAGCTTGGACCGTATGGGAGACTAGCTCAAGCTCAAGTATATTGGACCGTATACCGTATGGAAGACCGTATGGGAGACTAGCTAAAATGGAGACTAAGTAAGGAAAATGCACAAGTCTCACAAGAGCCATGCACCAGTTGGAGAAACACACCAAGTATGGTGGACCAAGCTTGAAATCGAAACAGAGCATCTCACCATGAACAACTATGAAGTTTTTTTTTTTTTTTTTTTTTTTTTTTTTTTTTTTTTTTTTTTTTTTTTTTTTTTTTTACAGAGGTTCCAGTACATTATTTTACAAGGATCATAAAGGAGAAAATATCTGATATATTTTCATCTGAACATCAAGTTTTTACGATAGAACCGGAGACGCTCGAAGAAGGCTGATTTGCGGAGAAATTATTTTATACTCAAGCAAGAATCAGCAGATAAAATTATTTGATCAACTTGACATGTCAGAGCATTTATGAAGGACAAGAAATATCAAGCATGCCGCGCCGAACTTATTTAAATTTTGGAGGCTACAAAATTCAAGAAACGACAACGGGCAAAATATTCAAATCATCTGACAAAAGGAGAAATGACATCTACCTAATATTTCAGATCAAGTTGACAACATTATTTGATCAACTACAATTCAAAATGGACGATCGAGATCGAAAGTTGATCAACGGGCAAATAGCTTTCTTTGGCTATAAATTGTCCAAGTAGACTTGAAGACAAGTACGGCTGAAAAACTACAAGCAAGAGAAAAGCAAGCAATACTCAAATCAGCCAAGAAGCAATATATTGAGCTATACACGATTAACTTCAAGTCTGAGCAAGAGAAAAATTTGTATTTCATTGTAAATCTTCTACTGAGTGTAGAAAAGGGGTAGAGTAACTGGAGAAAGTGAAAAACCCAGTTGGAGTGTAGCTTTGTGCGTAGCACTCGGTGTAAAAGGGTAGAGTAACAAGAGGAGCTTGTGAAAACCCTGTGAGAGCGTAGCTTTGTGCGCAGTTCTCGTGGTGTAGGAGTACAGCTTGGTGCGAAGTACTCGGGAAGGCGGAGTAACAAGAGGAGCTTACGAAAAACCTTGGTGGAGTGTAGCTTTGTGCGAAGCACTCGGAGAAGTGTCGCTGGACACTTATTCACTATTGTATATGGGTGATCGAAGAATAGTGAATTTCCTCATTGGAGTGAAAGGAGAAGAGTGGACTAGGAGGATTACACCACCTCTGAACCACTATAAATCTCTCTCTCTCTTATTTACTTACTGCTCATATGCTTTGTGCATGCTTATTCTAACTAAGAACTAACCCGATTACGATTTATCGCATATCTTTATCTGTCTGGGTTTGATAGTTCTCACGTTTGCATGCGAGCCAAACTTTGTGCACATTATCTTTGAACCATATTAAGTGTTTCTAACGTGTTGCATGTTTAGAATCTCTCTTTGAGCACCACACTATTAAGCATAACACTTTACCGCTACCTATTCCGCTATACACTCTAAGTTGTTTATCTTGTTGATGCTTGTTACTTATAGTTGAAATTATCAAAGTGTTAATTGCCCTGA